GGGGGCGGAGGAGCGGGGGGGGGGGGGGAAGGGAGGCTGGGTGAGTCGGCTGGAGCTGGCTGGGAAAATGGAGGGGAGCCCAGACGGGGCTCTGGCCTCCCTGGCTCCCCATCAAGATGGACCTGACTGAGGGCGTCCTATGGTCTGTACCTGCAAGACCTGCCTGGGACTGTGTTACTGTCGTCTAAATAAACCTTCTGCTTTACTGGCTGGCTGAGAGTCATGGTGAATCGCAGGACGCCGGGGGTGCAGGGCCTTGTGTCCCCCCTCTCTCCATGACAGAGGGGGAGGAGTGGGGTCGCAGCATACTCAGGGGAGGAGGCAAAGAAGAGGCGGCAGGGGGTCCTCGGGGCAGGGGGTGGAATCGGGGCAGGGCAGAGCAAAGGCAGGCCCCCGCACTCCCCCTACACATACCCCCCTGCCCCTGCCGTGAGCCGCTGATCAGTTGGCAAGAGCAAATGGGATAAATGCCCGTTTTTGTCAAAAAAGTCAGAGCTTAAAAAGGGAACTGTCCTGGCCAAATGGGGACATATGGTCCCCCAGCTCCAGGCAAGTGGAGGGTCTGCGTGTGGGGCTGCTGGGCAGAGCAGTTCCGGGGGACGCTGGGCATAGGGAGTCGGGGGCTGTGTGGCACAACATGTGGTCTCACCCCCGAGGAGAAGGGGCAGGCTGGCAGCTCAGGGCTGGGCTGGCCAGTATGCGTCTGGCAACTGCCGGTGTGTATACGGTGCCCTTGCACTAGGCTGGGTGGAGCAGGGCCAGCCCCACCATGCTATGCCCCATTGCCCCTGGCTGGCCCCTCGCTCTGGGGACCGACCCCCCTGCGTCATGCTCCTTTGCCCCCTGGGGGCCCACAAATATGTTTGGCACTGGGCACACAAAAGGTTAATCTGGCAATGCCATGGGGAGCTTCAGAGCAGGGGACCCAGAATGCTGAGTTATCGCTGGTTCTATTCCCGGAGGGGGAACCAACCCAACCCAGCCTGGATCTGAGCCCTTTGTCTCCTCGCAGCCCAGCGACCCCGGGCAACTGGTGGGTTCAGATGAGGGGCCCAGCTCAGTATCCCCACTCCCAGCCCCACCCCCATCTGGACGCTTAGGGGCTCAGCACTTATGGCATGCTCAGAGCCAGGCTCTGCCCTGAGCCCTGGGCCCAGAGTTGGGGACATCCGGCCAGGGAGCAGTCACTGGAGATTCAGGGCTGAGGGAGGGGGAATCCCTGCCCCAGGGGGAGCTGCAGAGCAGGGGGGCTTTTGCCAGGACATGCTCCCCCGGACTCCCCCTGCTCTGGAGATGCACAGGAGAGTCGGGGCCCAGGGGCTGCCCAGACAGCACCGGCCCTGGCCATAAAAATCTCCCTCCCCCCACCCAGAATGACCCTGAGGATAGATGCTGAGTTGCGGGGTAGGGGTGGGGTGATCGCTGAGCTGGAGTTTCAGCCCCTCCCCCTGCCCTGATGGACGCTTGTTCTTTCCTGCAGGGGGAACCGCCCCGACACAGCCTGAAGCGGCGCCGAATCCCACCCGCCCAGGCAGCGCAGGGCCAGGTACCGGGGCTGGGGGGATTCTATTGAGTCACAGATTATGGGGCAGCTTCCCCCAGTGGTTGCTCGGGGGAGAGACAGAGTCTGTTCTCAGGGGCACTGACTCCCCCCCCCGCAGACGGATTTGGGAGGGGAGCGAAGCCTCCTGCTCCGACACGAACCTGCCACTAATGGGGCAGCCAGAGGCTTCCTCTGGGGACAGCTGGGCCCTTCAGTGTCCACAGGCAGGGTGTGGGGAGCTGGAGCTCCCTGCGAAGCAGCCAGGAACAGCCAGCATGGGAGGCGGGATACCGGGCTAGATGGGCCCATTGGCCAGAGATGGTGCGGTCAGGCCTGGCTGGTGCCATTGCACCATATGAGAGGGGACTGGACATGATGGCCAGGGTGGATCAGACAGCGCCCCATAGCGCTGCGCTAGTGTGGCTGTGACGAACTGGGCCTGTTCTTACTGTGGTCTGTGAATGCTGACAGGGGAGTGTGGCTGGAATAGTCTGCATCGGGGGATGGGAGTCTGCCCGAGGGAACATACCTGAGCGTGTAACATGAGAACCCAGGAAGGGGTTGGAGGCCAGGTGACACCTTGGCCCGGGAAACTGAACAAAGGCTGTGGGAGGGGTCGCTGAAGGCAGAGTGCTGGAAGCAGGCTGGAGAGATGGCTGGGAGGCAGAGATGGCTCTGACCCCCCAAAGGGGGGTGGGCTGGGATGCCCTGGGACCCCAAGCTGGACCTAACTGAGGGGGGCCCTGTTGTCCGTGCCTGCAAGACCTGTCTTGGACTGTATTCCTGTCATCCAAATAAACCTTCTGCTTTACTGGCTGGCTGAGAGTCATGGTGAATCGCAGGAAGCCGGGGGTACAGGGCCCAGAGTCCCCCAATACTCCGTGACAACTGGTGGCAGCGGCGGGATCTACTGCACCCCGTGGACGGCGCTTCCTGCAGTAAGTGACTGGGGAGCAGTAAAACGAAGGGGGATTGACGGGGACCAGGCGTGCTGAAGAGTGAGAGAGAGATGGTTATTACCCCTGGGAGTGTGTGACCAGCGAGAATGACTTTTGCGATAA